AAACAGATCCAGACATATATGGTCAATTGATTTTCAAGAAAGGTGCGAAGACAATTCAGTGAAGAAAAGATAGTATTTTCAACAAATTGAGCTGGAACAATTGAGGATTCAGACGCCAAAAAAAAAAAAAAAAAAGAACGTGGAAATACAGCTTGTACCACATATAAAAATTAAACTATAAAACTGCTAGAAGAGGGGCTGGCCTGGTGGCACAGCGATTAAGCTCACACAGCGTTTAAGCTCACATGCTCCACTTCAGCAGCCCGGGGTTCACAGGTTCGGATCCCAGGTGCAGACCAACGCACCACTTGTCAAGCCATGCTGTGGCGGCATCCCATATAAAGCAGAGCAAGATGGGCACGGATGTTAGCACAGGGCCGATCTTCCTCAGAAAAAAGAGGAGGACTGGCAACGTATGTTAGCTCAGGCTAATCTTCCTCCCACACAAACACAAAAAAAACCCTAGAAGAAAAGATAGGAGGGCTGGCCCCGTGGCTTAGTGGTTAAGTGCGCGCACTCCGCTGCTGGCGGCCCGGGTTCGGGTCGCTTCTCCGGCCATGCTGAGGCCGCGTCCCACATACAGCAACTAGAAGGATGTGCAGCTATAACATACAACTATCTACTGGGGCTTTGGGGGGAAAAAAAAAAAAGATAGGAAAAAATCTTTGTGACTTTGGGTTAGATTTCTTAGATTCAACACCAAAAGCATAACTCACAAAAGAAGAAATTAATAAACTGGAACTGAGGTCCTGGGGACAGGAGTGGGTGGGAGAATTTTCACTGTATATACTTTGTGTCTTTTGGTTTTCAAACCATGTGAATGTACTATCAAATATACCTTTAAAAAATCAGGAACCTCTCACTTCTGTGTATATACCCAAAAGAAGTTGAAACAGGGACTCAAACAGACATTTGTACACCCATGCTCATAGCAGCATTATTCACAATAGCCAAAAGGTGGAAGCAACCCAAGTGTCCACCAACAGACGAATGGCTAAACAAAATGCGGTCTGTACTTACAATGGAATATTATTCACCCTTAAAAAGGGGGAAAATTCTGACACATTCTACAACATGGATGAACTTTGAAGACCTTACATTAAGTGAAATAAGCCAATCACAAAAGAACAAATATTGTATGATTCCTCTTATTTGAGGTTCCTAGAGTAGTCAAATTCATAAAGATAGAAAGTAGAAGGCTGGGTGCCAGGGACTGGGGTCAGGGGAGGAATAGGGGGTTACTGTTTAATGGGGACAGAGTTCCAGTTTGGGAAGATGAGGTAGATGGTGGTGGTGGTTGCATAACATTGTGAATGGACTTATGCCACAGAGCTGGTTAAAATGGTAAATTTTATGTTAAGTATATTTTACCACAATAAAAAAAAATCAGCAACTTCTGATTCTGATTTCACAATAAACTCTGCCTTATGTTACTATGCAATATTCCCCCCTTGGGTTCCATGTCAACTTTAGGAATATTTATGCTCTTTTAAACACACCTTTGAGTCTCTCTTCAGTATATATCTTTTCCAAGTGTTTCCCAGTATTTTTCGGTTTACTTCTCTACTAAGGAAGATATCATGAATCTCTTTTTCAAGAAGATCCTGAAATTAAGAAAACTGGGTTCATATAATTACACTAAGATTTCTGGTTTTCCAAAGGCTGCTCTTAAAAGGTCTCCTTCCCTTGGGCACCCCTCACTCCTCCCATCACTTTTGGCCTTCGGAGCCGGTAAAACCCAAAGCAATCAGTGTGAGATGTAGGCCTCATGCTGGGTCTAAATCTGGCTCTGACTCTACCTGCCATGTCATGTGACCCATACTGTTTACTACTGTCTCAGCAGCCACAGGCCAAGCTTATTATTACACAAACCCCTGATCACCAAACCACACATTCTGGCTGGCGGGTCCCTTAGAAGAAAAACATTCCTGCTGCAGCCGTGGCCTACCCTTTAGTTCACCTGTGCTCCTATAAACAAATCCAGGCCTGCTCAGAAACCAGGGTTCAAACAATAGTTCTGAAGGAACCTATCTTTTAGGTAAAGAAAGACTCTCCCGTGAGACAATATTGACACAATAACAAGATAAAAAAATACTGACACACATATACCAGTGGAGAAGTGCCAACCATGAGCTGGAAGCTTCTCATTGAACACCAGGAATGGATCTAAAGGCTGTCTTCCCAACTCGGACTGCTACCGTAGGAGCTCATACTCCACTCACCAGGGGTGAGGTTCAATAAACCCCTGGGTGTAGGTAATGTTTACATTAGCACTCCTCCCTCTCCCTGTAGAAACTGTTTCCCAAGCCCAACATCAAGGAAAGAGCAGTGGGGAGGAACTGAAGGATTTCAACCTTCCTTTCTCATTAGTTCTGCAGGAGTTAAGCTTTCCAAAAGGCTGATTCTCAACACTTGGAGCTGGCAGTCCCTAGCAACTTCTCAAAATAGAAATGTGAAGGACTTTCTGTTTTCTTCCAGCCCTGGCTCTCCCGGTCAATTCTTCTGATGTCCGGTCACCACAAACAAGGGGCGGGGCGAGGGTGGGGGTTCAAGGGCAGTTAACTCTCAATTATTTGGCAACTGATTATCAAAGGGGTGGTTTATACTTCACCTCCCTGGTCAATGCACTACTCCATTGGATCTGCCAGTATCCCTATTTGAAGTTCTGACAAAAAGAACCAGTGAGCGAGGAAGTGAAAGCTAACATAGCTGCTAAAACAAGACTGGCAGAGTATTTGTGGGTTTTATTTGAACATGCTGCCCCCTGTCCCAGGGTTAATGATAGTCTAGGTTCTGATGTGTTCTGATCTTTACAGTGATTTTCAAACTTTTTTATTCCATGGATCACTTTTATTTGACTCTCTAGATAAACGAACCTATACCATTGTTTAAAAAAATAAATTAAAACTACCTCAGGGCCGGCCCGGTGGCGCAAGCGGTTAAGTGCTTGCGCTGGGCTGCGGCAGCCCGGGGTTTGCCAGCTCAGATCCCGGGCGCACACCGACATACTGCTTGTAGAGCCATGGTGTGGTGGTGTCCCATATAAAAGTAGAGGAAGATGGACACGGGTGTTAGCTCAGGGCCAGTCTTCCTCAGGAAAAAAAGAGGAGGCTTGGCATCGGATGTTAGCTCAGTGCTGATCTTCCTCGCAAAAAAAAAAAAAAAAAACTACCTCAGAATATTAAGATTGGCCTTCCTTTTGCCAAGATTATCATAAAGACATACCACAGTGGTATTTCTTCTTTCTTCAGTGGTTCTCAACCTTTTTCTGCCTCCACAATGTTCTCATACACAACACATTCCCATTAATAACATCTCTAATGACACTACACTGGTTGCCAAAAGACAGAGGAAAAGGCTACCTTGCCCTGACTCCACCCCTTCCTGCCCTCTCAACTGAGAATCACTGTAATCATGTATGCCCCAAAATACAAAGAGAGACCACAAAAAATACTAATGCAAGAAATTAGCCAGTGAACTACCTGCTGGTTACTTAAAATTAAGGAATGCAAGAATGGATTAAGAACCTGGTAGGGTGAGCCTTGGTGGCCTAGTGGTTAAGTTCAGCACACTCTGTTTATTGGCCCAGCCCGGTTCCCAGGCGTGGACCTACACCACTTGTCTGTCAGTGGCCATGCTGTGTTGGCAGCTCACATACAAAAAAAAAAAGAGGAAGATTGGCAGCAGATGTTAGCTCAGGGTAAATCTTCCTCAGCAAAAAAAAAAGAACCTGGTAAACGCTAGATGCCATGCTATATATACCTATCTATAAGGATCCTATATATACACCATCTCATTTATTGTTCACAACCACCCTGCAGGAGGCTTAGAGAAGTTAGGGAACTTCATTTCCTCAGATCACACCTAGGAAACAACTGGCTCTAGTGGATAAAGAACTTAAAAACCTGGACTTCAGAGTTCCAGTCCTGGCTCTAGGTGACCCTGGCCCTGCCCCTTTGCCCCTGTCAACAGTCTCCACATCTGTAAAATAAAAATGTAAAAACTACCCCCTCCCCACTTCCATCTTCTAAGAGTACCCTGGGAATAACTGAACTATGTCACTAAAGCTGAGTCTCCTGCATAAAAGATGAGAAAACTATCATCTCCTCCAATGCCCAAAATCACATTCTAGAAGGAAAAGATTCAGGAGAGCGCGCTCTGCTTTTTTCCCCTGGAGAGACACGAAAACTGGGAAGAGAGGGTGGGATGTAGCGGCACGTGACCAAATCAACGACCATGCCAAAGTGCAGCCTGTGGTTACACACCAATGAAAGAGGAGCAGGGTTTGCCTCGCATCGGGCACCGGGCACCTGTCACCGGGCAGGGGCTCACACCCTGGCACGCGAGGACCGTAAGACTGGACTTGAGGGGTGTGCGGCAGAGGAATGAGGGCACAGCACCGAAATCAGTTTAGAGGATGGCAAGTATTGTATTCGTATGGTTGTTTCTCAGGAGTCTTGAAAGGATTCTAGAAAGACGGAAGGACAACAAAAAGCACGGCACGCTCCAAACTGCAAGGTCGCTGCTCAGGGTGAGAAGCCCCTCGCCTCCATCCACCTGGGCACGGCGGACACGGTCAGCACGAGGGCCGGGCAGCAGCTGAGAGCGCGCGCAGGAGATACAACGGTCTGAACTGGGGATGGGGACTCACAGAGGTCTATAAATACACTGGACATCAGCGTTGGAAGCCCTCTGGGCCAGGGCCCAGCCACGACAAACCTGGGGCAGGGATTCTTTGTTGGCGGGAGGCTTCGATTTCTGACGCAGGACCCCCAAGGGGCCAAGCCAGGGCCGAGGGCAAGTGTGAGCACCCGGGGTAAGGAAACGGCCAAGAGCTGGAGGCAAGGGCCAGTCCCTTGACTCCCCCTCGAAAGGATCCCCCAAAGCCAATCCCTGAGTGTAGACCCCAGACTCCCCTCGCCTCGACCAAAAATCCAGAGGACGCAGAAGGCGGAGCCCCACTCCCCCTTGCTCCCGGCCACGAGCCTTCTCGTACTTACCGGGGCCCCGGGGCTTGTCTTCCTCTCCCGCGTCCTCTCCCCTCCCAGCCCCCTCCTCAGTTCACGTCCCCTCCTCCAGGGGCTGCAGCCATGTCCGTTACTGGCAACTCTAAAGGGGCTTGCCTCCCTTCTGTGGCAACGAGACGCCGGCAGGCAAGCTAAAGTTCTAAGCGCCGATTGGCTGAAATCCCAGACGAGTGGAAATTTTTGGCTTCTTATTGGCTGCGCGGCGCGCAAGGCTGCAGCTGCAACCGCCCCTCTGGGAGCCTGGCGGAATTAAGTGCCAAGTGATGCCGGCGCGAGACCGTGCAACCAGTGTCTATCCTTGCGCGTAATGCTCAGGCCCTTACTGGTCCAGAGTGTCTGACCAGAGGCCAGGGCACGGCTTCCACTTTGATTAGTTTTCTTACAGAATTATCCTAAAAACATGAACAGAGCTCCCTCCCTGCCTTTTTTCTTTCTTTTTTAAATAAACCTTTTGCAGAGCGCCCGTGTCTCCTACTTCTTCTAAGCTTCCTCCTTGTTGCTGGGAACAAGTGTTTAGAGACACTTTGCTCAGAGACCTTCGAGGGAGTCCCTCAGGGACTAATACTGTGCCCAAACCAAAGCTGGAGAATCTAAGGTAATACTGCAGTTTTCCCCCCAGCTCGGCTGAACTCTAAAGGGAAAAACAAGTTAAATTTTTTTCCTAGATAATTAGAGAAATCGTCTGGGAGACCTCTCTTGGGAAAACAAAGCAAGCCTGTGTCAGTATTTACTTCTGCTTTCCCAGAGATCTAGGTCTGGAGACTTGGGTTTTTGTTTTTTAATCTGTTTATAAAATTGGAAGAGGGCCATGGCTGGCCCTGGGAAGTAAGAGCCCCTTCTCCCTATTAATGAATTTAATTTTATAATTAAAATCTCTCTTTCTTCTTAGCTGGACAAGAAGGTGCCATTTCAGTGCCTAGTCTTGTATGTTTGAAATGATATAGCAGTTGCCTAAAACGCTGGTAGACTCATGTCACTTTCCTGCACACAAAAATCTTCTGCAGTTTATCTTTGCAAAGAGAAGTCCAAATCTCTCTGCCTGATGTTCAAAGCCCCTCATAAATCAGCTCAGACATACATTTCCAGGCTTAACTCCCCACGGGCCAAACTACTGCAACCACATAGATTCACCACCATCCACTAAACGCATCTGGGATCCTCCCATCTCTGCTCCCTTGCCTAAGAGGCTCCCTGTGCTTTGAAGGTTCCTTCCTACCAATAAAGCTAACGTTCGAACACATGCTCATCCTAAAGGCCCACCTCAAACACTACCTTCCCAAAAGCCTTCCCTGATTTTGTCATCGAAACTCTGTCTATATAGCACTGTGCCTCTTTTCTTTGTGTCTCCATTGCTGCCTTTACAAAAGTATGCTTTGTACAGCATTATTTTTATAAGACCTCAGGCTCCCTGAAGACAGCTGGCTTATCCTGGCAGTCGCCACAACATCTTACTCAGAGCCTTGTACCCAGTAAATGTTTGCTGAATTGAACTATTCAATTGCCTCTATCTTATGGCTTTCCACTTCCTCCCAGAAAGTTTACATGGCTGCATTTGGAAGGTTAACAAATGTAACAGTCATCCTGCCCTGCTCCACCTTGTACCTCCGTCCCCTCTGGCCACACTTGTTTCTCTGCTCCGTTTGGTTTTTATGAATATCACTCCACAAACTTGAAGTGAGTGCCTACCAGTTTCAGGGGCTGTGCTGCAGTCCTTCACCCTCTGACCATCCCCTCTGTCAGTCTCCCCAGCCATAAAACTTTGCCAAAGAAGTAAATCAAATCACTCAAGCCATAACATGCCAATGCACCCACTCTGAGTTCACCCTGGCTAGCCTTTTTGCCGCTCAGAGATCCCTGAGGCCATGTCTTGTTGGTTGTCTAGCAACCCCAGACAGCAGTGCCAATCCTTTATTTTTCTGTAGCCTCCCCTGTCTCCCTACCAAGATAACCTTGATGAGAAGACCAAGGCCTGCTGGTGGGGATTTCTCATCTACTTCGTCTGCTTCTATTTCCCTCTCAACACTCCTCCAAGAAACAGATACTCCTCTTCCTCTCCCCATCTGTATCCTCAGTCCCTTCCCTGCCCCAGCTTCACACACTCTTCCTCATGTCTAGGCTTAGCTTATGCTGTTTGCTGTGCCTGAAGTGCCCTTCTCACCTCCTTTCTTCCTGGCTAACGCCATATCCTTGGCTTGTCCCTGCTCTGTTTTCGCATAATTCTCTGTAGATAACTGTATCACTCATTTACCACACTGTTTTATATCTTTGACTGGAAAATAATATTAATTATACATTAGTATCCACAATCTCTTTCTCTCCTCCTGCCTGCTAAGGAGGGTTGTGTCTGTGCCTGTTAGGTTCCCAGATCATTGCCCACAGAGTAACAGCGGAATGGTGGGACTGAGAAGGGCCAAGCCTTGAGTGATTTGGTTTACTTTGGGTAGGATTGGGGTTACCAGTAGATGAGAGCAGGTGGGCTTTAAAAGAGGACAGGAGAAAGTGAAGAGAGAAGAGCCAGGATGGTGTGGATTAGGGAAGAGTTGGGGGCAGTTTGGAGGGAAGGAAAAGAGAAGCTTTAGGGCAAAGTGAGAAATACCTTCAGTGAACAGGTGAAATACCTCCATTATTCTGACACTGTACAATGATCTGGGAACCTAACAAGTAAAGACAGAATTCTTAGCAGACAGGAGGAGGGAAAAAGAAATGAAGAATAGGGTTTTAAGAAGGTTTCTTGTAGGGGCTGGCCCGGTGGTGCAAGCGGTTAAGTGCGCGCGCTCTGCTGCAGCGGCCCGGGGTTCGCCGGTTCGGATCCCGGGCGCGCACCAACACACTGCTTGTCAGGCCATGCTGTGGCAGCGTCCCATATAAAGTAGAGGAAGATGGGCACAGATATTAGCCCAGGGCCAGTCTTCCTCAGCAAAAAAGAGGAGGATTGGCATTGGATGTTAGCTCAGGGCTGGTCCTCCTCACAAAAAAAAAAGAAGGTTTCTTGTAAATCATTTATGTAATTCCCCTTTTGGCATTTTCTCCAGAGACTACAATAAAATTTGAAGTTGCTTTGCAATTATTTTTGGATGCCAACTAATGTTTCTTTGTGTATGATTCCGTATAGAGACTGGACATATCCATCGCTAGGCTTTATTTATTTATTTATTTTTTGTGAGGAAGATCAGCCCTGAGCTAACATCCGTGCTAATGCTCCTCTTTTTGCTGAGGAAGACCAGCTCTGAGCTAACATCTATTGCCAATCCTCCTCCTTTTCTTTCCCCAAAGCCCCAGTACATAGTTGTATGTCATAGCTGCACATCCTTCTAGTTGCTGTATGTGGGACGCGGCCTCAGCATGGCCGGAGAAGCGGTGTGTCGGTGCACGCCCGGGATCCGAACCCCGGGCCGCCAGTAGCGGAGTGCGCGCACTTAACCGCTAAGCCACGGGGCTGGCCCCAATCGCTAGGCTTTATATAGTTAATAGCATTATCTATTTATGTGTCATTCTCTTCCTGTGAGCCCCTTGAGCCTAAGGACTGTGTCTTATTCATCTTTGTGTCACTATTGATTAACAAAGTACATGGCACACAGGAGATGTCTGATAAATGTTTGTTGAATAAATGAGCTGGTGCCCAATTATCCTCTCTCTCTAGCATATTTAGTTGCTTCCTTTCCATTGGATCTTTTCCCCCAGCTGTATAAATATTCATAGTTCTCATCTCTCCTTAAAACAAAAGAAGGGCGGCGGTAGAGGGAAAAGAAGAGAGGGGAGAAGGAAGAAAAAGAGGAAGAAGGAGGAGGAAGAGGAGAAGACTTTCAACATTAAATGGTCTGGTCTATGTGACACTCCCCTGCCAAATAGTTAATGAATCAACCAGCAAGAGGCTCCCTCTCCTTCCGTGATGTTATGTCGCTGTCATACTAGCCAGTGTAGTAACACCCAGTGACTTCACCTTAGCTATACAGTCAACAGAGAATCCCTGCTTCATTCATTTTGTGACCCTGTGGAATATTTAAGAGATATAGCTAAAGAATTCAATGTCCTGTAACTTTAAGAAAGATGTTTCAGAGTTGTTAAACTGGCCTGGAATAAACCCCTTCAAAACTGACCGACATCATGCTGTGTAGGCCTACCTGCCTATCAATCAGCACATGTTTACTAAGTCCCTTGTATGTGTCAGCCCAAGGCTGGATGCTGGGCATGTGGGAACAAAACTGAGAGGATCCCTGCCCTCAAGTCAGTATTCTAGTAGAAGAGACAAGACCTTAAACAAATAAATAATTATATTATCACAAGTGTGCAAAGAGCTGCAAATGGGATCCTGGTGACCTAATCTTAGGTGGCTGGGGAAGGCTTTCCTGAAGAAGTGATGTTTGAGCTGAAATCTGAAGAATGACTACAAGTTAGCCAGGCGAAGGGAATGAGGACAAACATTGCAGATGGAGGCGGTGGCATGTGCAAAGGCCCTGAGGAAGGAGGGTATGAGACTGAGGAACTAAAGCAGATTCCTACATGACTGGAGCAGGAAAGAGGAAGGGCAGAGTGGTAAGAGACAAAGCGGAAGAAGTCAGAGGGCAGTTTGTGCAGGGTCTTCTGTACCACCTTGAGGATTTTGAGCTTTGTTCTGAATGCTTCGAAAAGCTATTGAAGGGTTTGAAGCAAAAGAGTGCCACGATCTGATTGGCATTTATAAAAATACTCAGTTTGGCTGCTGAGTAGAGAATGGATTGTAGAGAAGCAAGAGCAGCTTTGAGACGCCGAGAGAGGGAGTTCGGCAGTAATCTGAGTGACATAGCCCCTGTGTTAGGTGGTAGCAGCCTGGGTGGCAAGAACCAGATGTGTTCGAGAGATATTTAGCAGGTAGACTTGGGAAAATTTAGTGACTGACTGGACTTAAAGTTTGGGGAGAAAGAGAGAGAGTTGACACCTAGGTTTCTACAGTCCGGATCTCATACGGTGTCAGTACCTCTGTCCAGTTCCAGGTGCCTTGAAAAGGCTAATTTAGAGCAAAGTACTAAACAAAGCATCATCCAGAAAACATTCTTGTTTATTTGTAATTCACTTCACCTAGGTGGAAGTATGAGAGGTGAGTCAGA